CGATGTAGCTGAGTCAGTATGGACAACCGTATGATAATACCTCTCACATATATAGACAATTGCACTAAGCTCGGCACGAAGGATATCTTGGAGTCCTTGCAATCTACTACGCATGAGGGGCTTCAAGGTGGTGGGCATCTCGTGAGTGTCCTTGAACTGAGATGCCAGGCACTGGCGTTCCCTGTCAGTCTGAGCACAGTCTAGCACTATGGCAAAGCTCGCAAACCTACTCTCTGTCAACTCGGGATACTGACAAGACCCGTCTGTGTAAACCTGTATAAAACTTCCAGCAAAATCAAATGACTGCAGCTGTTTATGGAGTTGGGGTTGGATTTGTGGTTCCTCCTGCGTCCAGTGAAGCTGCAAATGACTCTGGTGGTCTTCATGCACATGTATTACAGGCAACACATCCATGCATGAGCCTGTGTCTGCAATCCACTGGAACGTTTCCTTGTGTGGTATGTGGAGATCAGCAAGTGCCGTGCAGTGCATGGTCCTATGCTGCTTTGTATCTATCTCTCCACAGTGTGGGCATTCAGGGGACACGGCAGTGTCCCAGGCCGATTGCTGGACTCTTGTCTGGTAAGCCCCTGAGATCTCGTTGAGCAACTTGATCTGCTGAGCTTGGTTGTATTGACGCAGTACCTGTATGGTCATTGCACGGCTGACAGGTGGAAGTCCCTTCCAGTCCTTACGATCTGCATGCTCTAGTACCTGTGTCTGCCATTGCCATTCTGAGAGCTTTAGCAGTGAACTTTGGCCAAGTTGCAGGAAGGGGCATTGGATAAAAGCTGATACCTGCAAGATCCCCTGAGGGTTGAGTGACCATCCAAAACGATCAAGGTAAAATCGCAAACAACCAGCTGGTCCGCGGCATTCATGGGCAAGCCCCTTATGAGTGGCAACCATACTAAAGAACCTATCTCTGGTGGCTACGTCGGATCTGAGCAAGTATCTTCTGGCTGCCAGCAGTACTCTCTGGATGAGCACCAGCTGTGGGTCTAGCAGCTGAGGCATGCAGTGCAATGCCAGAGTGGAGTTTCGACTTATGGAGGGTCCTAACACCGCATTAACAACTGCTGTTCTTAGAGTGGTTAGGTGTTGGGATCCTAGTGGGACTAATTCCATTCCATACATTGCAACTGGATAAACCCCCGCACAAATCAAACGTGTTTTGGACTCTAGTGGTTCCTGGGTTTTTTCCAGACGTTGCAGTCTGTTTTTGGCTCTATCAAGACGTTCACGGAGTTTTCCCAAACGTATGCCACCCCTATAATTGATTTGGGCCCCAAGTTCCATGGCGTTAAGTTGCTCCTCCACCTGGGCGATGGGAGCCACCTGTGTGATGGCGCGCTTAAGTGCTGGGATTTGGGATTTGTGAGTGCTCCATAGCCATGATTAGTCCCAGTCGACAATGAGCCTCATATGGTTTGCTAGATCCACGGTTGTGGTCAAGACCTGTGAATGTTCTAACACTTGGGTTGTGGACCATCCCCAATTATCTGCAAAGGCGCTCAAGTCAGTTTGGGTGGTATACCCTTGAATCCTGTGAACCCATGTATACCCTATGGCGATCATCGCAGCAACACTAAAGGGGTCTCCTTCTGGTAGGCCGTTATTAGTAGGTTGGGGAGGACTATTAAGGCCTTGGAGATTCCAGGTTCTGCTGAGGCTTTGGAGGGATTTTTGCCAAATCTGGAGGATTGATGGCGGGACCCCAATTTGGCCTAAGATCCTTGCCGCCCCCTCTCGCCAAATCGTATTAAAACACCTTTTGAGGTCGATTGATACCCCTGATCTAGCTTTATTGTCTTGATGTGCACACTCAAGTTGAAATTGCTGGTGATACATGGCGTCAGCTGGCCCACGGCCTGGGAGGAAGCCAGTGATCTGGCTTGGCATTTTTGTGCTTAGAACCTTTAACAACCCTTTTGTAATAACTTTACTCCACAATCTATATGTCTGGGCTAAAATAGTTATGGGTCGAAATTGGTGTACAAAAAGGCTTTGGGAAGTTTTTGGCACGGGTGTCGTGCGAGCGATCATACACCAGTCTGGAAAACCTTCTGACATCTGCATCAAAATGCTTGCCAAATGGTCTATGGCTACATCTGGTAATGACTGAAGTTCTGCCGCGCTGATGGCATCAATTCCTCTGGCGCTTCTTGGATTGAGTTCCTTCACCGCCGATCTCCAAAGCTCGGGTGATGCAAAATCAACTGGCTCTTCCGCTAGAAGGTTGGGCAAACTGTTAACAAAATCTTCAAAACCTGGCAATGGTGTCAAGCTTGATGGTGGCAAATTCCAGTGTTGTGTCCAGTATTGCTGCAACTCTTGCATTATATGGCTGGGACGGGTGAGTACCTGAGTTTGCAACACTGTGGCTTCTTCTGTCACTGGCAAGGGTGCATGCATTCGGAGGGTGACACTATGTTCATCCTGCTGCAGGATGGTGGCTGTTGTGTCATCCACCTGAACAAGCTGGTCTGGCCGGAGCCGGGCTGCAACGCTGGAGTAGGCAACTACTTGTCCCTCTGACTGAGGTACCAAGATACATGCATCAGTGAGGTTTTGATGTAGCTCTGTGACAGGTGGTTGTGTTGGGTCACGGAGTCTGGCAAAAGCTCTAGAGTTACCTTGGCATTTAAAGTCAAGTCTACGTCGAAATTCCAGCTTATCCAACCATCGTTTCCTATCCACCCATTGGCAATGATCAGTCTCATGTTTGGCGATCTGTGTGATGGTGCACAGCATATCTTGATTAGGTACTCGCAGTGGAAGAGGTCCTATCTCAGGGATGTGCTGGGCCCATCGACAGAAATTTCCATCAAAGGCTTGAGACCGCAAAATGGCAGACCACAAACCGAGTGCCTGTTGTCGTTGGGCATCTGTCCAATGTGGTTTACTCACTAAGTGGCTCAAGCTCTGGAGGCGGCGGACCTGTCTGATTTTTGCCTGGGTGCTAAAGGTGTGTACCTCTAGAGTGGGTTGGTAATCCCCTGGTCTGGCTTGCTTAAAATGTGTTCTCACAGGCATGGATACTAAGTTCCTGGGTTGGCATCTACCTCGATACTTTCGTGGAAGTCCAATGACCGGTTGTTCCTTATTGTAGGCCTGCTGGGCGGCTCTGTAGGCACGGTCCACTGCGTGTTCAACCTGTCGGGCCCAGGCTGTGAGATCGGCTGGCTGTCCATATTCCATGGTGAGATGGTCATAGGCTGTTTGCAAAGTTTTCGCATCCAAGGGAAGTTCCAAAAAGGATTTTGTGGCATCGAATATCGCTAGACGAATGCATCTGTTTCGGGGATATGCAACTCAAAAACTACGACCTGATGTGTATCGAAATAGGCTTCTGGCAGCACCTCAATCGACCGCAGCCATGTCTGCGCCACTGGACACAAAAGGGCCATGTCTGGATGGGTCACCCCACGGCATGTGGGGGGCATATCTGTGCCCAGGAGTTGTTTGTGGAGGCGTTTTAGGTCACCATAACCTCTGGCTTTTAGCTCTGATCCAACATCCCATTGCATGGGGTCCCCATTAAAATCGCCAAGGATTATGGAGGGAATTGGCAACATATCAATGGCAGTGAGGGCTGTTTGTAGGAGTTCATTATTGAAACTGTTAGAACCTGGCTGTGTCGATGGTAGTGCATACAGGATTACAAGTTGCACCTCAAGAGCACCCATGTGTGCTACCACATGAAGGATTCTGGATGTGGATGCCATTTCTTCGGGAACCGTTTGCATGGCCTTTCGCAGCTGTTGGCCTGTTAGGCATGCTACTCCTGAGGCCTTGCCTCGCTTCGAAGCTGTTCCGTCGGTTTTGGCTTTGTGATCCTGCACTGGGACACTCCATTGGATGTTTCTAAAACTGCTACGTGTCAGTGCTTGAAAGGTCTGCTGTGCTAATTTGGTTGCCGAGGTCTCCGATGCGGTGATCAGGTCGAGCTTGTGGTCTTGCTTGAGCTCTATGTAGGTGCTGACCTTCGAAAAGATGGCTGTGGGATTAGTTATAGCAATTCTATAGGTTTGCACCTGGGATGGTCCAGGTTTTGAAGCTTCTCCAAGGCGTCTCATGGACGTGTATGGCTTCCAAGATGGTGCCAAAATGGCAATGGCTACATGAACCGTGGCAAAAAGACAGCTGGAAAAAGGAACTGGTCTTGAATTATTCTTTACAAGGAATCGTGGCATGCATACATCGTGTGAGGCTTGGCAGACTGGAATCCCTAGATATCTGTGCCACCTTATGTAGCGCAGAGGGTGTGCTCTACAACTTTTAGGGATTCTCCTACAGTCCATCCTCTGGTGATATACAGTGCATCGCTTGGGTGGGGCCCTTCCCCAACAGGATGGCAGTGTTCCATGTCTTCGATGTACTGGCTGTTCCATCTTGCTCCGATGCTTACTAAAAACTTTTTTATGGTTTTTATATTTCTTTTTGCATCCTCGGTGGGCTGTACACTGGGTGCAAGCATAAGAGATTGGCATCGAACGTGTTTGGCACGTTCTCCTGATATCTCTAGCACTGGAATGTTCGAACCCAGTCACTTTGAGGTACCGTAACCGACAAACCGCACTGAACAAGTTTTCCAAACCAAGGTTTATACACGTGGAAAACCAGCATGGCACTAATTTCAGCTTACACCAATGACCTGGACCAAAACGTGCAATCATAGGCAAATACTGCAATTCCCCCTTTAGAGTGACAGCCAAAACTGCATATGACCACAATCTACAGGCATCAGAGCTACTGCAGGCATGGAGTTTCCAATGTCGTCTTCGCAAACATTGAAAGATACGGCTCCGGGTGTGCGACTCCTGGATATTTATACATGGGTCAGGAGTGCCATCTAGATCATCTACAGCAATGTTATGCCAAATAGTTCCATTATCGCCAAAATGGCCGGCTATGTCGGCTGATTGCTGTTGGATCTGGCCTCGCAAATTACATGCATGGTGATGCAGGCGTGGTGTTGTGCAGCACAGGCTGTGCTGTCAGTCCATGAGTTGGTCACCGTCATCTGGCGCAGGACGCTTGTTGGACCCCGCCAGTAGCTGCTTGAGTTCCTTGAATCGTTCATCCATGGCTTGAGTGTGGCTACGCATTGATTGTGCAAGGGCAGACTCAACTGATTTTTCGATGTTCTTGATAGCATGATCCACTTTGGCCATGTTTTCTTTTTCCCTTTGAGCTGCCACCTGGAATTGTTGCTCCACCTGCTGCACGTGTTGCTGTTGTTGGTTGGTCAATTGATCAATGCTTTTTTGCATGGTGGCAAGTTTTTCATCCTTCTCTGCAAACTTGTTCTCCATGGGTCCTTGCACAGGACGCTGCGGTATCAACGATGCACTTGTCTCGGGCCTGGACGGTGGTGTCCAATTTGCCCAGGGGTCATGGCCCGGCTTTTGGTGCCACGGATCTGCTGATGTCTTTGCAGGTGCCTTTGGCCTGGGACCTAAGAGCACTTTCTCAGGTGCTTTGGCATCGCGGGGTGGCAACAATCTGGCCAGAATGGGCGTCGCATTGAACATTGGCACAGCTTCTGGCAAGTCTGCATTGGCTCTAACAAGCCAGGTTTGAGGACCAAGGGCTCGAATGGGTGATGCATCCCATTTCATGTGGGCAATCCAAGCATCTATCATCTGTGTTGTACATCCAAAAGGCAAATTCTGCAATTTATATACTTTGTCCCCCCCCTTTCTTGCGGTGGTGTGGTACCTGGATGCAGAATGGCCCATGCAGCATCATGTTTATCGTTGGCAAAGCGGAGGCCATATCCTTTTCCTTGTCTCCCACGGACCAATCCCAAGCATGACTGGCACTTGGCTGACAGGGAGCTCAGTTTCGGCACATCTCCAGAGACCCAAATGATCTTGTAGTTGAGGTTGAGGCGGCCCACCTGTGTCTTTGGCGTGAGAAACAGGCGGTTAAAGCCTGATTTGGCCATGAGTCTTTCCAATTTGGCATCTTCCACTGTGAGATGAATTTGGACTGTCAGTGCCTGGTGCGGGGATGCAGGTGATTTGTGACTTCGAAGGGATTTTCCCCACATGGCATGTATCCCCTGGTAGAGGTTGTCATTTTCCAGGAGCTTGCGGATGAATCCCATTGGGTTGGTTGTGATGGTCAACCAATCCCCCTCTTGCCAATCTTCTTTGTACATCGTCATGGCTACTAAAGTGCAGGCGTCTGCAGGTACCTGTTGGGGATTGCCTTGCCGGTGCTTCAGTGCTTTACTTCCCATTTGGACAAGAGTGGCTGTGAGCAACACCATTTGTTTGTCAGGTGTGTAGCAGGGGAAAGTGATAACCTCAGTGGTCAATGTTCCTGGGACCTGGATTTGTCCAATGACCAGAAGTCCTAATTCATCCGAGGTGATCAACTGTGCTTCTTTGATCCAGACTTCTGCTTGCAGCGCTGTCAACAGACAGACGCCTGTGGCATGTGGAACAATCTGGTTGATCTGCGTAGCATTGGTGCCATCCTGATTGGTGAAGTAGCCCTCGATGAATGTGTAGTCTGCTGGATTGATCTGAATGTCCTGTGGTCGACGTTTCTTCTTCTGCCAGAGGCTTCCAGTCAGCTCTTTCCCTGAATTGGGCTTGGTGGGTTCAGGTACTTCAATGCTGAGCTCTTTGCAGAGTTGCATGACTGCTTGCAGTTTGTTGCTTCCCATTGGTTGTGAGTTCAGAGCCTGAAGCTTGGGAAGTCCTGTTTTTTGCATGATCTTTTCAACTGCAGTGGTCGTCCATGCAAGCGGCAATCCATGGTCTAGCAGTAAGCTTGCCAGCGCGTTCTGTTGGATGTCTCGTTGTTGGGATTTTGTCCCCTGTCCTCCACCGTGCATTTCCATGACTGCGTGAATAACGACATACTCACGGGTCGGCGGTGGCAGGTTTTCGACCACCATGTCATGTGGCACTTGGCGACCATTGACAACTAGTCGATACTGCTTCCCCGCATTGAGGGGCACCAGGGATTGTTTCAGAATGGCTGCCATCGTACCCAATGTTGTTTTGGGATGCACAATGCCCTTCCAAATCGGCCTTCCTGCCCACTTCAGCAATATCGGAGGTTGGTTGGATGCGTCATCTTTGCATGCATCTAGCTGAGATCGAACTACAGCAACTACCAATGCAATGAGGAATGGCTGTGGTGGCGCGACACCTTTGTTCCTGGCAGGGACAAACCGGATTTCTCCAGTAGCTTCGTCATAGTAGATTTGTCGTCCAAGCAAGTCCAATGACTGTGGCGAAAGAGCCATGGCAAAGATTTGGCGAAGCAATGCAGCTGCTGGTTCTGGTCCTTGAAAACTGGCGATGATGGCATTAGTCTGCTTGTTTCGATGCCAATGGGTCGTGACTTGGGCAAAGGCCGCAAAGACATAGATCAATTCATGTGTCAACACTTCATGTGTTAACGGCTGTGGCAAGAACATGAGTCCAAAATCAGCAGTCTGTCCTCCAGTTTGATGAGCTCATGTGGCTGTTGCATGGTGGTGCAAGTGCATAAACCCCATACTGCTTCAATGGCATCGGAGGGCATATCAGCTGCAAACCAAAATTCCTCATGATATCCCAACCATGTGACCGTTCCCTTGAATACTGGCTGGAAAGGCACTGTGTCTGTTATGTCTCCCTCATCGGAGGACTTGGTCGCTGTGGATATGGGTGATATCGGCTTCTCTGGTTCCAACTGTGATTCATGTGTCGCAGCTGATGGTTGATTTGCCTCCAGTGTCAAAACTGATTGTCCATTGCGGTACTCTGCAGTGGTCTGCAGGGCTTCATGCAGAGTGCCATCAGTGGTGGTGCCAGCTGGTGTGGATGCAGCTGTGTCATGTTCTAGCCTGGATCTGTACCATTCAGCACATTCTGCATTCTTTGGTCGTGATGATCGTGCTAAATAAGGCTCATGGGCGGGCAAAGTACCTGTCCCCATGTCGTGGCTGAAATCTTGAATACCCTCATGGGCGGGCAAAGATCCTGTCCCCATCGGGTTTCTCTTGGCTGTTGTGATCGGATTGGATAGCATGGTGTTCCTAGCTGTGCATAGGTCTTCACTGTTTGCTGGCAAATGGGCGGGCAAAGATCCTGTCCCCATTGCCCCATCAGGTAAATGGTCATTGCTCAGTGTGACATCACCAACTTGGGCGGGCAAAGATCCAGTCCACAAGGTGGCCGCATGGCATGGTGATACTGTTCCTGTCATTGATTCAACGGGCTGGTGGTGTGCTGGCAAATGGGCGGGCAAAGTTCCTGTCCCCATTGCCCCATCAGGTAAATGGTCATTGCTCAGTGTTACATCACCAACTTGGGCGGGCAAAGATCCAGTCCCCAAGGTGGCCGCATGGCATGGTGATATTGTTTCTGTCATTGATTCAACGGGCTGGTGGTGTGGCACATCAATGGTCGGATGCATATCTTCATCATCGGATGAATTTACTGTGTGTACTACTGACTCCGCGCCTGACATGGGGGACAATGGACACACTGCACTGGAGTGCAGGGCAAGACCAGACACAGACCAAAAATCTTCGGGCAAGTCTTCCTGATTGGCATCTTGATCCGGTATATTCCGTGGCTCTGTGGACCTTGGATCTTCTGACTGCTGTACAGTTTGATACACTGACCTAGTCATCATGCAGGAGACATCAGGAGTTGGTGATTCTACCGGATGCAGTTCAAAATGCCGAGTGACCTTAGTTGATCTGTGTTGATCAAACTGTTGGCATGTGAGGAATCCATGTTCCGGTGTCCAGATGTGTCCTGGTGCAGGTGTACCTACAGTGTGAAGCGCAACTGTGTTCCTGACAAATTCTTGAGTCAAGGTCTGATTGTGACGGTGAACAAAACCCCCAAATTGCACCTTAGTAAACACTGAGTTCAAGGACGTCAACCTTTCATCTTGAAAATCACTCATGATATCTCGAATGTGCTTGTCTAACAGTGACATTCGTTGGAAAACATTGGTCATCACCAAAATGGCATGTGGTGGTGCAATCATGTTTCCCATGTGTTGCCATGCAGCGTCCATGTCTTCATGTATATATACCTTGTTGCAACAGCCATGTAAAATTGCAACCTCAGCAGGATGGAGAAACCGAGAGCTGAAAGGAGCGTGTTCATCCTGTACAAAATGGCCCAAATAGCCATGTTTCTGCAGGAACGTGCGATCGATCTCATGCTGTCGGCCATACATTGCCATCACTGTTGGGAAAACCGATGTGGACGAATGCACACGCTTGGCAAACAGGACATCTGGTGCTGGCAAGGTTGCCAGCCGGGTCTTGACGAATGCTTGATCGGATGCAATGTCTACAATCTGCCGGGTGAGAAACAACTTCATGCGTTCCTCAGGTGAAAACTGCAAGGCAATGTCGGGCCAACAACCATCATGTTTTGGCCACGATTGCAGAGGCACTGGTGGTGTTTCATCATGAATTCGAACTGCAAGACCTAACCACCTCAACCTGGCAGTGGAGACCTGATCCGACAAATTACTAACCCTCTGCCATGCCAAACGGTAACCAATCATGTGCAATGCTTTAAGAATCCAATGTTTGTGAGTATGATGATGGAAATTGCTCACTTGTTCCATTCCAATAAACATTGGTCTAACCCATCTACACTGCAAAAGCGATTGGAGAAAGAGTCTACCCCCTGGCACCAACAATCCTTTCGATTCCCCTGCGGCTGACCATGCTGGGCATGGGGCGGGCAGTGTGATGACATGTGGTTGCCACGAAATGATTTGTGGCAAAATATCCTCATTCAGAACATCTTGTTGCCAAATCCAGTTGTTCCCATTGCTCATGAAAAAGGCTTTTGGTAAAACTGTGTTTGATGGAATCCATCCAGAAAAGTGGGTAGCAGCATATGCTTTTGATGCAATCTCATCCAGTTCAATACCCGCTGTTTGCGTTTTAATTCCGTACTGTCCCAGAAACTGAAAGGCCGATTTCCAACCACCAAAGGCACCAGCATACATCTCCAGACATCTCACCACAGCCGGTGACCGTTCGGGTGATGGCAACACATGCCATTTGGAAAAGGTACTAAATCGATATGCCATGTCCCATGTGCTACGCAAAATGTCAATCTCTTCTACCCCCAAAATCCAGACAGGAGTTGCCAGAGGTGGGATCGTTTGATTGATATCCCAAAGCATATGTTCAACCTCTGCCAGCAGAGCGTCTGATGGAATCGTCAAAATTTCAGAATCATATAGTTCTGCACCAAGTCCTTCTGGGACATACCTCTGAATTTGTAGCACCAAATCATCTTCAGTGAAGCTCCTAGCTTTGATCTCACACAACAGGTTTGCCCTTTTTGGCAAGTAGATACATCCCAGGGCCCCCAAAACATCATGTTGCAGGATGTCAGGTGAAATCATGTCAATGCAGTCATACGCCATGGCTCTTTCGACCTCACACCTGGGGTGAGGTACAAGGTTACCACGCGAAGGTTGAGCCCAAACCTTCGTTATAATTTACCCAGATATATGAGTTTATACTAGTGTTTCAAAACTGGAGGCAAGAGGCATGGATGGATCTGATCCTTATTGGGAATTTGAACTCTAGAAATGGCACAGTTCGACAAAGCCAAGGAGACAAATCCAGCAAACAATGCATTGGTACCGCAGTCAGCAGTGATTCTCATGGGGATACTCAGTCAACAAGTCCAATCAAACCATACTGGCAATAAACAGGCAATTAAAATGATACAATCAGCATTGATTCAGGAGAGTAACTAGCCTACTCTCCCTTCTCTTCGCTTGTCTGGGTGAGGTTGAAATTCGCTGGGAAATTGATTTCCCACATGCATCATTGTCTCATCTGAACAGTGCGGAACTTTCGACAATGATGCGGTGGTCACTATCATTGTCATGGTCGTCATGATCAGCACCATGATCATCAATCACCAGTCTTCAAAACCAAATCTCCGAAATTTATGATCAATGTCATCTACCATAGATCACCAATCATCATTATCGTCAACATCATGACCATCATGACCATTTGACCAACATGGCTATCATGGCCATCATGACCATCATGACAACTTTGACCCATCATGATCATCATGACCATCATGACCACCATGACCATCATGACCATCATGACCAACCATCATGACCATCATGACCAACCATCATGGCTATCATGGCTATCATGGCTATCATGGTCATCATGACCATCATGACAACTTTGACCATCATTGTTTTTTTGCCATCACGACCATCACGACCATAACGACCATCATGACCATCATGACCATTTTGACCATCACCACCACCACCATCACCACCACCACCACCATCACCACCACCATCACCACCACCACCACCACCATCATCATCATCATCATCATCATCATCACCTACATCTGTCTCACCATTTTAGGATCATGGTACAGTTCCCATTGATCATTTATCATTTCTGAGGATACTAAGACGATATGATCGTGAAATCACCACTAACATCCCCATTTTTCTTGGTGAATACCAGTACCTACAAGGTGGTGCCCCCCACTTGTAAATTTGTTTATAATCCCCATTAACTATAGCTATATCACCTGTAAACCATATAATATAATATATAATTATGAGAGTTATTTGCAGCAACTTCGCTATCTTGGGGGCACCACCTTGTAAGTGGGGCTGGGAACTGCTCAACCCTTGGAATGGCCTGTCGAAAGATAGCACGGCTGAGCAGCGCGTCAGTTCCTCCAAGCAGGCTCTTTGCAATGGGACAGAATTGCAGTTATAAGTCCCATTGCAAATATATATATATATATATAGCCAGTTTATATAGCCAGTAGATAAAACTAGATGGGTTATAAATATCCAGTTTATAGACCCCATGACTACTATAGATATATCATGTTATATCTACCATAAACTAGAGAATTCAGCAATTTTTCTGTTCGGCAACTGAACGCGAGCTCGAACGGGGCCCCCATCCTCTGCGATTTTCCCAAAGATGAGGCACACACACCCAGTAGGTGCTGGTGATGGGTAGCCCACTTGGTAACTATCACTGACTCAGGGCGCAATCTCTATATATATATATATATATATATATATGAGTCCGGACTCCGGATCCCTGGCCCCCCCCCCCAATGGTATGGTCCCACAAGCTCACGCTCTCGGGAACACGGGACACGGGACCATACATACATACATGCATGCATGCATCCATCCATCCATCCATGCATCCATCCATCCATCCATCCATACATGCATACATACATACATACACACACAAACATACATACGTATCTACCTACCTACCTACCTACCTACATACCTACATACCTACATACCTACATACCTACATACCTACGTACCTACGTACCTGCGTACACACGTACATACATACATACATGCATGTATGCATGCATGGATGCATACATACATATACATACATACATGCAT